TATAAACATTTTAAGATTTACTGTGCAATACATTTGATATATTTTTTTGTAAAATATTACAAAGTGCAAATGATTACATGTACATGTACAAAATGTATTTAATTTATGAAACAACTTGTGGTGCTCTTGAGACGTTTAGGCCATGAAACCATTCACCCTTTTGTCGTTTCGCTCATACACCATTCCCAATTGGCACTGGCTACGGTTACATGGAAATGTAACAATAATAATTGAGTCTACGGTTACATTGCGTTATTGTTACATGATCTTACATTTTTGCACTTCCAAATGTATGCTGCCAGCTTGGACTATACATATATATATTAAAATAAAACTTGAAAACTTCTATTTATATTTTACAATACTGCATACAATTTTTTTTTTTTATATACAATGTACAGTATGTTGTTTTGGGAGCGGCATGTTATAGTCTGACGCATTTTGGTGAAACCATAATCTAAGCAGCCATCACAAACGAGTGATGCAGCAATTTGCACGTCTGTATTGCATACTGTACAATTCCATTCTGCAATATCCCATTATGAAAGTTAAAGCAACTTTCAATGTCTGTCATGTTTCAGGTGAAAAATATTTTTCTACTTTTACGATGTTTATATTTTTATCCATTTTTTTTTTTTGGAAGCATTTGAGTTTGTAATATGATTTCATTGTCGTCCATAATTGATTTTATGTTCACTTCCGATTTCAATATCCAGCTTAGCATAGCTGGGGAAAAACAATAAAACTGAAAAATACAAGTCAATTGTCACAGTGATTGATGTCAACATTTGCCGACATGTTGAAACTGGTGGAATCAGTGTTTTCAATTTTAGAGTAAATTTTCAGATATTTTGTGATTGTAATTTCGTTCTTATCAATTGGCGAAAAAAAAAATCAACAAAATTACAGAAGGTTTAAGTTTAATAAATCTAGCGTACATTGAAGAGCATTTATATAATGTTCAATAAAGCAATGTAACCGTAGACACAAATATTATTGTTACAGTCATAATTAATCGGATCCTTACCCAACCTTGTATTCAAGCAATTAGTCTCCAATGTAACCATAATATTTTTATTATTGTTACATTTCCATGTAACCGTAGCCAGTGCCTTCCCGATTTGGTTGGTTCTGTCCATTATACTTTTTCCTAAATGTTCTTTCAATGTTTTGAATACAACAATAATAGGCAAGTAATTATTTCTGGACATATATACGTGTATTTGATACAGATTTTTTTTATAAAATTTAAAAAGATAATTGGTATGATGCAGAATGTGGAAAATGTCAGTTTGCATTTCGGGCCCATTTATATCTGACTATGCAGTACATTTGTAAATGTTTTGCTCATTGTTAACCGCCCTGACCTATAATTCAGTGATTTTTTTAGTGTTTAGGGGACGGGGCACATGCAATTGGGAATAAAAGTTCATGAGATGTTGGCTTTGGGGAAAATATATTAGTATGGTTATTCCGAGGGCACACTGCACAATGTTGCTTCAGCATGTGCAACTTTCTAGGGAGGTCTTGGGTAAGGCCCCCCCCCCCCCCGAAAATTATGACAAATTAGGTGCTAAATCATGCATTCTGAGAAGGAATAACTGCATAAATTGCAAACAAGATTCAAGAGATTTGTTAACATAAAACAATGATACGACACCAACAAAATCTCGCAACAATGTAATCACAGTTGGGAATTTTACAGCTGAAAATTGGGAAAAAAAGAGCATATTTCTCATTGGGAATGGGACCCAAATTTTGACCCTACATGAGGGTTGGAAAATCCCTGACCTATAACTAATCTCTAAGTCATTTAGTCTCTTGTGGAAAGTTTCATAACTCTCAATATGGTGAGTCTGTGAGTCCTGGACTCATGAAAATTTGAAAAATCTGTAATGAGAACCCCGAGTTATTTCATTGGCAATCATACCACATCTTCCTGTTTGTATAACATATTTAAGCTTGTGCTCAGCTTGGGACTGTTTAGCACTCTTTTTTTATAACCATTTTTAGCTCACTGGGGCCCTTCGCCATCACTTGGCGTCTGTCATCGTCGTCTGTTGTCCTCGTAAACTATTTAAAAAAACTTCTCCTATGAAACTACTGGGCTAAATACCTTCAAACTTTAACTAAATGTTCCTTAGGGTATTTAGTTTATAAATTGTATCCGAAGTTTTGATCCATCGACAAACATGGCCGCCATAGCTAAAAATGGAACATAGGGGTCAAATGCAGTTTTTGGCTTATATCTCAAAAACTGAAGCTTTTAGAGCAAATGTAACGGGATAAAATTGTTCAATTGGTCAAGATCTATTAGCTCTGAAATTTTCAGACGAATCGAACAACCCATTGTTGGGTTGCTGCCACCGAATTGGTAGTTTTAACAAAATTTTGCAGTTTTTTGTTATTATTTTGAATATTATTATATATATATATAAACTGTAAGCAGCAATAGTGTTCAGCAAAGTAAGATCTACAAAAAAGTTAATATGACCATAATTGTCAATTGACCCCTTAAGGAGTTATTGCCCTTTAAAGACAATTTTACACAATTTGTTCAAGTTTGCTAACATTTAAAAATCTTCTCCTCTGAAACTACTGGGCCAATTACCTTCAAACTTTAACTAAATGTTCCTTAAGGTATCTTGTTTATAAATTGTATCCGAAGTTTGTATCCATTGACAAACATGGCCGCCATGGCTAAAAATAGAACATAAGGGTCAAATGCAGTTTTTGGCTTATATCTCAAAAACTATATCTTTTAGAGCAAATGTGACAGGGGTAAAATTGTTTAATTGGTCAAGATCTATCTGCACTGAAATTTTCAGACGAATCGAACAACCCATTGTTGGGTTGCTGCCACCGAATTGGTAGTTTTAACAAAATTTTGCAGTTTTTTGTTATTATTTTGAATATTATTATAGATATATATAAACTGTAAGCAGCAATAGTGTTCAGCAAAGTAAGATCTACAAAAAAGTTAATAAGACCATAATTGTCAATTGACCCCTTAAGGAGTTATTGCCCTTTAAAGACAATTTTACACAATTTGTTCATCAAGTTTGCTAACATTTAAAAATCTTCTCCTCTGAAATACAGGTGAGCGATTCAGGCTCTTGAGAGCCTCTTGTTTTTTATTTATTAAACATGACCAATTGCAACTTTATAATTTTTAATTGTATACTTATCACACTGACTATAAAAAATAACCATTGATAAGTGTTATCTGCAATAAACTCCAAATTAATTTTCAAAAACTACTTATTTAAAGCTCACCTTTCCCAAAGAGCTAAGTGATCGTTTCTCATCATTTAGCGTCCGTCATCCGTTTTCGTTTCATTATCTTTGACAAAAGTCTTCTGCTCTGAAACTACTGAGACAAATTTTACCAAACTTATATTAAATTTCCCGGGAGGCGCTCTGAATAAAAATATTTTTTGTTTAAGCTTAAGAAAACTACAACCTTCTAACAGGAGACCTATTAGTCAAGTATCATTTTGGTATTCGATACTCAGTACAACCGAGTGATACACGAGTACTCGTTTGCATCCCTAAATAAAAGCAGTTCAAAAAATGAAATCATTCTTTTTTTCAAGGTTCGACCAAGAAATGACTGTTTGTCCATACCACAGATACAGTCTAGGAATAAATTGGAAACCAAGTAAAAAGTGTATCTTCCCGTTGCATAAAGGAAATCAGCAGCCACAAAAAGGAGTGAATCCATTAATGAGCAAAACTATCCTTAACAAGTTTGGATGTCTTCAACCTGTAGGTTCAGGTAAAACATTATTTATTATTGCAAAGATATCTAAATTGCTGGTCATGAAGAAAATCCACATATTTGCACTTTAGTGCAATGTAAAATCTTTTTACTGATGTCTTAGGGACAACATTAAAAAATCAATGAAGGATAAAAAACTTAAATCAAATAGTTTTTTTTTTTTTGGGGGGGGGGGTAAAAATTGCTGCAAATTTGTTTATCCAACATCACTTTTACATATATCCATAATGGTCAATCAATTTTCCCCATATTCAATTAAGAGGAAGGGGGGGGGGGGGGGGGGGGGGGGGGGGGTCAGTGAAAAAACTATGTGAATTAAGTTTTTTATCCTATATTGAACTTTTGTCTTTTAATGGTGTCCCTTAGGCTTAGCAAACTTTAAAAATAAAAAAAAAAGCTTCCCTTTACTTAATGTGTATTTTTAAAGCAAAAACAGCGCATTGAAACTAAATTCTAGTTATGGTTCAATGCCCAGTACACCAATGTATATAAAAATAGTAGAGGGGGCATTATATTTATGTACATGTATAATTTTACTTTCTGAGCATGCTGAATGTAATCAAATGCACACTTTAATTGATATATTCTGACTTTGCAAGGGCAGGGTGTTATTTATAATTTGGATCATTATCCCACAGGATTTTTCTTTCATTAAAAATAATTATATATATTTTCAGGAATTTGTAATGGATGTAAGATAAAGTGTAAAGACCTAATTCCTAATACGCCAAAATGTTATAATGAGGTATGGTATTTGAAAAAAAATCTGATTTATGATGTTATGCAGATCTGTCCATTTACAGCACAATTTGACAGTACATTGGATGATTTTTTGTCGTCATACTCCTAGTTTTATTCATTATAGCAATTTCAATAGTCATTTCCTTTTGAATTTTAAAACCGTCTTGTTCACCATGAGAACCAAAGGTTGAGGTTTCAATAAAGGGGTCAAACCAAACTTTGAAATTTGTGCTGCTTCTACTTTTACCACATACTACATATATCTAAGTAGTGAGAACAATTTCAGTAAAAATAATGCTTCCGGGTATCTAAAGGGTCACATGGCTTCCTGTCCACTGTTACTTTGTGAACTAACAGGGAAATTACATTTGTCATTCATTTTTTATGCACATGACTGGTATATAAAATGTATATTATATTTCTTGTCACTCAGTAATGTATACATGTATGGAATGCATTAATTCATGCTGTTGTAATGATATTCCATAGATTTCAAACGTTTGTGTTTATTTTTCAGTGCTTTGATCAAGTTGATACAGAAGAAAGTACATATGCATCTGGATACAAATTGAGAGAACGTCCTATCCAGCAATTTGATGATAATGTGAGTAGTACTTCATTAATTTATAGAGAAAAAAGTGGCTGCAGTTACTATCAAAGAGTATTCAAATATTATTGGAGCTAGTCCTCTGAGACAGCTTTTTTAAAAAGAAACCATTGAATGATTGTGTGCAATCATTTGTAGACCTAATTAAACTGATGTTTACCGGTATATGTTTTAGTGAGTTAACTCACAGTACTAGTTCTAGTTTAATTTTATCCTTTTCATGAGTTGTGGAACTTTTGCAGCAACTTTTATTGCACATTATTTTGTTCATAGATATAAGAAGATGGGGTATGAATGCCAATGAGACAACTCTTCATCCATGTCATAATTTATAAAAGTAAACCATTATAGGTCAAAGTATGGTCTCCAACACGGAGCCTTGGCTCACTTCAAACAGCAAGCTATAAAGGGCCCCAAAAATAACTACTGTAAAACCATTCAAAAGGAAAAACTAACGGTCTAATCTATATAAAAAACGAGAAACACTTTTGAACCATATCAACAAACTACTGAACATCAGATTCCTGACTTATAGGACAGGTGCAAACAATTGCAGTGGGTTTAAACGTTTTAATGGTAACCCTCTTTGGTTGGGTTGTAGTCTCTTTGACACATATAAGTTAAAACCATTTGAATGAACATTTGATGTAGGTGATAATGAACTCTTATTTTAATTTTTTGTTACATTTATATACACCTGTTTTTTGGAATGTATTCAGATTTTACCTAAATTACTATAGTTTAAAAGGTCATTTATCAATTCAGTACTCTGATGTGACACAGCAGTCCCAGTCTTTATCGCAGCCTTTGTCCCAAATATCTAATTGGAGTGATGAAATGGAAACTACTTTGGACCAAGCAAATGCAAAATTGAAAATACTAAATTGTAAATCAAGTCCGTTAAGAGGACAGTTACTTTCTGATATATCTTCCCTGAAGGACAGTACCATTCGCTATTATAAGCGTAAAGCAGACGAATCTGTAGATTCTGTACTTAACATTATTGCTCCAGGGCAATCAAAGGAGTTAAAAAAACTTATAATGTCAGAACCAACAAAGCCTCCAACAGATGATGAGCTCACTGATACCATTTTTAAACTGTATGAAGAAACAGCAGACAACAAACTTCAAACACAAATTCTATCAATTGTTTCCCAAAAAATGACAAAAGGTGAAATTATGCAGCGTCTGCCTGACATAACAAAATATAAAATAGACCAAGCAAGACTGCTATCAAAATCTGGGTCTGGTTTGGTTATTGAAGAAAAAGTAAGGAGACCTAGAGAGCGTATGGATCAGGAGAAAATGCAACATGCTTTAAACTTTTTTTTCGATCCATCATTCGTACAGATAGTGTCATATGGTACCAGAGAATTGTCATTTGACACTGGAGAAAATGTGACAATTCCAGACGTTGTGAGAACATCTTGTCATTCACAAATTGTGCAAATGAATTTTTCTTACTGTAAAGATCTCAACTTTGAACCCCTTGGAAAGAGCTCACTTTTCAAAATTCTCACAGCTTGTGCAGCCTCACAAAGAACCAATCTTCATGGCCTTGATAATATAGCAGCTAAAGGTGTTGAAGCTTTTCAATCACTTCATGAATTTGTCAACAATTTGAAAAAAAAATCTTCTATTTCTTCCGATATTCACACTGAATTGACCACAACTTTAACCGCATCCCGTATTTATCTTAAGACCGACTTTAAACTTCATATCAACCAATCAAATATGTGTGCAGATCACTGTATAAACTGGTAGTTTAAGTGATCCAAAGGATGTACATTTTCAAAACACTTGTGATCACATTCATTGCTTGCAATGTGATAGATGTCAACTATTGGAAGATGTTCATCTTAAATTGTGCAACATTGTTGATACCATGAATGATGACAAAGAAGAATTTTCAAAAGTGATCGAAGATGCAATGATGGTGATATTTGATTGGAAATCACACATTGTAAGAACTGTCAACCAAGACCAATTTAGATTGGATACCATAGAACATCTTGAAACAGATAAAGCTTTACTGGTTATGGATTGGGCCATGAAATTTTTACCCTTGAAATATCGTGAGAAACAAACTGACTGGTTTGGTCAAAGAGGGAAGAACTGGCATGTGATTGTTTGTATATACAGAGAAAAAGATGGATCAATTAATGTAAGTGCATATGTACATGTATGTAATACAAGGTTAAAATACATTGATGCATTTTACAGATGTGGCTTGATATATACATTTTACATGCTATGTCACACATGTAAAAAAAAAATCGTTTGTTTATTGACATGTACAAATTGTTCATGCATACACATATATTGCCAATGCACTCTGTAGTTACCGAAAAGGAAGTATTTTATTAATTTTCATGCATATCAATCATATGCTTTTTATTTCATATGAAACAACCAACAAATATAAACAATATTACATGTCAGAATTAGCTCAATTTTAAAAAGTTTGAAAAAATTGTTGACATGAAAATTTGACATCAATCATGATAAAATTTTAACCAATTATTTGCTAAGAACTAATTTTTCATTATATGTCTCTCACCAATTGTGAAATGTGAAAATAGTGTAGAAATAAAATTATTCAGTGTTTGTTTAAGATTCTAATGAAATACATGAAATAGATTCTTATGAAATGAATATATAAGTAGTCTTTTATTTTAAATGAATTCAGTATCCAAATTTATAAAAATTGTATGTATACACTAAGTCTTGTGCATTTCTTTTTCAGCATAGAACTTTCACCCATGTTTTAGAATCTGTGAAACAGGATTGGTTTTGTGTGGCTTCACTTCTTGAAAATGTTATAATGACCATCAAAGATCAACTCCCTCAAACTAAGAAGTTAGTTCTGCGATCGGATAATGCAGCATGCTACCACTGTGGACATATCTGGTTATGCTTACAAGAAATAAGTAAAAGAACAGGTAACATAATACAAAATAATTTGGGCTAAGATAAAAGGATAATAGGAGAAAACAATATCAGTATTAGTGGCACTAGTGTAATGTTCATCTAAATCTTTATTTTTAATAAGCACCTTGAGACATTGCTTTGGAAAAAAAACAACCTGGGGATATCATTCAATCTATATCTAAAAAATAACATAATTATAGTTATGGAAAAACTAAAGTAGTAAAATTGTTCACCATAACAAAAGCTATCCAACAAGAAATTTTCTGATGAATCAGACAACACACGAAGAGTTATTGCCCTTATTCTATTTATTTAGACATGTTTCATAAACTGATTGTATGTCCCCTGCCATAGCAGAGGGAGCTTAAAGTTTTACCCTTGTCTATATAAAAAAGAAGATGTGGTATGACACATAAATTAACAACTATAGGTCACTGTACGGCCTTCAACAATGAGTGAAGCCAACACCTCATAATCAGCTATAAAAGGCCTCGAAATGATAATGTAAAACAATTCACATGAGAAAACTAGCTGCCTAATTTATGTACAAAAAATGAACGAAAAACAAATATGTAACACATAAACAAACGACAACCACTGTACGTCCGTTCTCTAACTTTAGTTTGCCTTAACCAAATGTAATTAAACTTATACACAATGCTAATTACCACAAAACACAATCAAGTTTGAATTTTGGTGGCGTCACTTTATCCATTCTAGAGTTATGCCCTTTACAAATGGTAAAATTGCTAAATTTTTAATTTTCGTTCTCTTGCTGTAGTTTTCCTCAATCTAATGTAATGAAACTTATGGATTGCTGCTCACAAGGAAGCTATTAAACCAAGAGTTCCAAATGGTGAAGTTGAAGTCATCCCTTCGTAAATTTTACGGACGCCATCACGAGTTGGTTGACCGTTATGGAATAACCGTTTCACAGATGATATCAGATATGTTCTTTATGTCGTAACTACAATACCCTCCCTTTTCACGAATGTGACTTACCGATTTAGACTATTTACCGGATTTGTAATAACATAAGCAACACAAAGGGTGCCACATGTGGAGCAGGATCTGCTTACCCTTCCGGAGCACCTGAGATCACCCCCAGTTTTTGGTGGGGTTCGTGTTGCTTAGTCTTTGGTTTTCTATGTTGTGTCATCTGTACTATTATTTGTCTGTTTGTCTTTTTATTTTTGGCCATGGCGTTGTCAGTTTGTTTTCGATCTATGAGTTTGACTGTCCCTCTGGTATCTTTCGTCCCTCTTTTATACACAATACTTAACATAAAAATCAGTTATTTTGTGTATATTTAAATTGAAGAGACTTCAGAATTTATGGCAAAGTAATGAATATCTTTTATTTCATAGGGATCAATATTCAGGGATATTGCTATTCTGAGGCCCAAGCAGGAAAGTCATATTGTGATTCAAAGATAGCACATATGCGCACAAAGATGAAAAGTTGGGTTGCAAGTGGAAAAAACATGGTAACAGCAGCTGATATGAAAACTGTACTTGACTCTGGAACAGGTAAATTAACAAAATGTACATTGTTCAAACAGAAAACACAATTACAACACAAACCCACTGTGAAATAAATGTGCCCTGTTAAGTTAAGCAAATCCGGTTCAATACACAATTTCAGAGACAGTTTGTTTCTCAGAAGTAAATTTCATTTCTCAAATAAATCTGACATGATAATGTTAAAATGTTAGACTTGACTATATTAAAAAAACAGTGTCTTCATGAAATAACAACAAAAGGCTGAGGCTCACATACGCATGTAAAATCACCCATATTAAATAGAAAATTTTTAAAGCATTGGTTAAAATGATCTATGGCATGTTGTTTGAAGCCCCATGTATGATATCATATTGACTTAATTTTTTCTGGTCTGTGTCCCCATCTGCTTGACCGTTTGTCTGTCTGTTCCTTATTTGGTCAAAGTTAGTTTGATTGAAGTTTTTAGTCACATCAGCTTGAAACTTAGTACAAATGATCTTGATGGTGGGATATTTTCAAATTATATGCCAAATTAGAAGCATATTATCTGATTATAGAAATTTAATTAACGTGAAAACAGGTTTTTTTTCAGGTTAAAGTTTTTGGTCATAGTAGAAAGTTTTAGTCAGATTAGCTGGAAATTTAGTTCATAATTTCCTTATAATATAAAAAAAAGAAGATGTGGTATGATTGCCAATTAGACAACTCTCCAGAAGATACCAAAATGACACAGAAATTAACAACTTTAGGTCACCATAAGGCCTTCAACAATGAGCAAAGCCCATACCGCATAGTCAGCTATAAAAGGCCCAAAAATGACAATGTAAAACAATTCAAACGAGAAAACTAACGGCCTAATATATGTATTAAAAATGAGCGAAAAACAAATATGTAACTACTTTTTTTACTTTTTTTAAAATTGATTTTTTTTCATCAAAAGATCATATCGAATAATGTACACACATTTTGTTGAAGTTGAAAACATGACCTTTGAATTGGTTTATAATTCCCCTCATTATTGTTTCTTTTCACAGGTGTTGCTGGATGTCAAGTCTCTGAATGTGTAATAGACACCTCAAAACACAAACTGATAACACACAAGTTGAAAGGAATAAATGATTTTAATGAGTTGCAAGTTGAAGAAGATGGTTTACTACTGAGGAAAGCCTACAACATCGGCAAAGGAAAATTTATTCCTAATGCATCCTTAGACCAAATGGGTTTTGGTAAACAGCAGGAAAATGAATCAGGATGTGTGGTAATATCAGGATTCGATTTACCTGTTAATATAACTGGAAAAATCAAAACACCTAAAACAGTTCCTGCAGTTAATCTCCTTGAAGGACCAGAAACAGAAATAGAAAATGATGAAGACTCATCAAGATTATCCTCTTGTCATTCAGAAAGTTCTGACCAAATGCTGTTCTATTGCACAGTAGTTGGCTGTGTCAAAAGATTTGCTACCTTAAATGGACTTGAAAACCATCTACTGATAGGAAAGCATTTTTTACAATTGCAACGGGAAACAACCTATGATAAAATCAGACACCAGTGGGCACAGTTGTGCAATGAAGTGGTCTTTACAACCAAAAATAAGTCAACATTAACAGATGGGACTGAAAAAGAATTTTCCACAAGTAATATGGGATGGGCTTTAAAGAAAGGCAGGAGAATATCAAGATTTCCTGAATCTGTTAAAAACTTTCTATTGGCCAAATTTGAAGAAGGAAATAGAACAGGAAAAAAGTGTAACCCAACCTCTGTTGCAGAAGAAATGAAAAAGATGAAAAACTCAAATGGGGAAAAAATGTTTCCAATTAATCATTGGCTTAATGCCAGTCAGATAACCTCTTACTTTTCAAGGTTATGTAGTAAAGGAACCCCTAATCCTTTAGTGAAGACTGAACTTGATGATGAAGATCTTCTTGCAGCTCTAATTGCCATTGATGAGGAAACTATTATCGCTAATATTCAATAGTTATTTACTCTTTTATTATTCTATACCTGTTGTTGTTGTTTGCCTACATGTACACTGTCATATAATTTTGAATAATGGGTAACATTTAAATTTTTAGTCTAACTAATATACAATTTTGGCATGAATTTTATAAATATTTAAAAAACATATCCATTTGTACCAAGAACTAGGATTTTTTTTATGGTGCAAAATTTCTTTTAACAGTAATTATTACTTATAAGTGATATCTAAAAAAAAAAAAAAAAAAAACATCTTAAGCTTATTTTAGCAGATTATTTTTTTTTGTGTGCATGTCTTATAAGTCATCATATTGTGTATTGGTTAAGCAATTTACTTATTCATGTTATTAAAACCGGTTTAGGATCAAGAAAATTTGTGGAGAAGCTGAATGACATTTAGTGTCTTTTAGGATGTACTTGAATAAGGTCTAGGAATTAGTGTCAGATGTCAAATATTTTGCCCCATAACACCTATTTTTCTTTTCAAATAAGATTTCAATAGCTCATTAAATGTCAGTTACCAAAATATGGTGGACTTCGGCTGTTGGGTGTTCTTTGGTCGGATTGTTGTCTCTTTGACACATTCCTAATCCCAGTCCGCCTTTCCAGCAATTTTTAAAAATCCAAATATTTTGAAAAGGAGCTCCATAACCCATTAATATTTTTGCTTATTTTGTTTCTTAACTAATACTTTCCCGAACGAATAGTATCAATTTTAAATTCTTGATTTTTTTTAATTTCACCAAAGTACATCCTTAATGGCTTGAAAAACATTAAAACATATTAAAAAGTTTGGGCTAAATTACAATCAAATTGTCCTTCAATCTGTCCATTTTTTAAACAAACATTTTTTGTTAAATTTTTCTCTGAACCTGTAGAATTGAAATATTTACCGTAATATGTGATCAACTGCACTGTAACAGTAACGAGTTGTAATTTTTGTTATTTTTTTTTTAACATTGTGCATTGGTTTGTTTGTCCGTTCGTTTTTCTGTCTGTCTGTCCTGCTTCAAGTAAAGTTTTTGGTCAAGGTAGTTTTTGATGAATTGTAGGTAGTTTTTGATGAATTGTAAGGCCTAAAAAATTGTAACTTAGTACACATGTTCCCTATGGTATGATCTTACTAATGTTATTGCCAAATTAAAGTATTGACCCCAATTTCGCAGTACACTGAGCATAGAAAATGATAGTGTGAGTGGGGTATCGGTGTACTATGGACACATTCTTGTTCAAAACAGTATATTAAACGAACATAAAAATATTTGTCACAAATTATTAAAGTACTAAGCAATCACTCTTTTGAATAGAAGCTTATGATACATATTTGAACAATGAAAACTAAGCATTATTAAAATATGTTAAAATGATTTTGCTTATACCATATAATTATTTTTTTTTGGAAAATTAAACATTTGAACAACTTATTATCTATTTTTCTTTTTATTCTTCACTTCCATGATCTCCAATTGACTCTGAGGTAAACATTGAATTTAAGTTCAATATTATCGATATACGAATAAGGGTGGTGTCACTTTATACATGTAATTTCACTAGATATGTCCTGTTCAAAAGGGAAAAAATGCTTAATACAAGAACATTGACTTTTGCATATTTACATATTGGGGAAGGGGAAAAGGGGTTGGGCACCTTTGTGCCATGGACATCTGTTTCTTTATTTTACTGATTGTACCACTGAACAAACATTTTGTAGGAGTAACTGTTTATCACATCTATAAATACCATAAAAATCAGTGTGTGAGACACAAAACATAGTAATCGTTGGCTGAAATTTCTTCATTAAAGTGGCTTGTGAGATGTGGATCAGTATATTGAGAAAATTATTTGGTTTTTAGAAATCATATCCTTCATTTATTTCAATTCAGACCCAATTGAAGCTTGCAAGGTAACAACACAATTTCTTGTGGACTTTGGCTCATTACTAATGCAAATCATAACATTTTTTCCCCTTGGAAATAGTTTAAGCGACCCTCCTCCCCAATCATACATGAACACGCTATATATTGTTCCACTCAAAATGAAGAAAATTAACCCTTTAAACCCTGGTATATCATATGTATAGGAATTGGCACGACATTAGTGAATATTTCACTTAAATTGGATCAACATGGGGCGTAAAAATCATAAATAACATAAATAAAACTTAAAAATTGATGATTTTGATGGTGCTGCCACCTACAGCAGCAAAATATTTCCGAACTTTTTTTTGTTTAGATTTATTCTATAGGGCATCTACTAAAAGGAAATATATAATAAAAGTGTGTATACTGTTGCTGTTTCTAAAAAAAATTAAATGAAATTAGATGAAATTTGCATTTTTCGAAAATGCTTTTTGATCACATTTCCATGGTTACGGTTGCTAGGGAAGAAAATATTTGAAATCAATTTTCAATCTGCTTTCATATCACTATACATATGAACTCTATATAAAATATATACTAGCAACAAAAATTAGATGATTAAAGCAAGATAAATTACTTTAAAAACGTGCCTTTTTGTAGTTTTCCTTGCTCATTTTCAGGGGCCTTCAAGGGGAAATTTTAAAATGATTTTTTTAACACAAATTTTTATTTTTTTTAAAAAGAATTTCATTTTCAAATTCTAATAAGGTATGTTCACATCTAGAATATGTTATTTGATCAATTTGCCAACATGGGCTTATCACTGTTTGCCTGATTCTTACATGGACCTGTACTTAACTCGGGGCCATATCAAGGTACTATGAGCGTTGCAATGATTATGATTATGATCCCACAAAAATCCTATTTCAAGAAATAAAGAAATTTCAGTTCGGATAGACTGATAGTTGTTTATTAACGTCTGATTTGCTAAAGGGAAGATGGATGTCTTTTTCAGGTATACTTTCCAAGTTAATTGATTAATTTATATAACTTTTGAGGGAATAAACCATTCCCTAAATAGTATTTAAGCAAAACGGAGAGTAATAAGAGAAAAGAATTTTTATGGAGAGCATAAATTTAGCATATTTCTGTACATACATGGAACGGGTAAACGAAAAATTTAATAAATTTTGTAGGGTAAAAAGGACACACATTTGTTAAATATATGAAAAAGTTATACCTGTTACACGTAGAAACGGCTACGTTCTACCAAAATAGCACTTACACAAAATAAAACTTACTTCGGTGTTGAATGATTTTTGTGTGATTTCGTTTAGATTTTCTTTCAAGTGTACATTTTCACCATGTGAACGAGGCTTTATATTTACATTGTAGCAAAAGCATTTAAAATATTCCATTGCGATCTATGTATTTTCTCTGTTCCATTCTGCATAGGCGAAGTTGATCTTAGATGTTTTCCGGTATTGATTCAACACCTTTTGGTCAATAAGCGCATCCCCAGCTTTCAAATATTTAGATTTGAGTGGTACCGTTTATTTTTAACCGTATGAGGTGAAGCAAATGGGCTTTTAATTATATAAACCAATTCAATGAAATTCTTTTTTTTTCGTGTGAGTGAAATTATAAGCATTTATACTCTTGTTATAACACTTGATTATACGTTTCCCGATATTACTTCTAAGTGTTCAAATAAAAAAGAATAATTTGGATTTTAATATCTTTCCTTTAGATTTAGTATAAATTATATAATAGCTATTGAAGAACTGGTCATTATCGTGATATATGGACTGCCCACAGGATACGGCTCAGTCATTATCGCTGTCTTAGTCAATACCACTGTCCTGTGGGCAGTCCATATGTATCACGATAATGACCAGATCTCTAATAACTATTATGTTTATTTCATTGAGGAACCATGTTTTTAAAAATTCTCATAAATTCAAATTGTTCAAAGCAAACTCGAGTTATTGTACGATTTCTATAGGAAAAAGTGAAGACCACTCATAGTGATAACTATAAGTCACTGCCATTCATTTAAGTGCAATTTTTCAGTATATGAATACAAAATAAAGTTTTCTATAATTTTATAATTCTTGTTGCTGAGTAGTTTGTCTCTATCAGTATCGGAAAGTACGACAAAACAATCATTTGAGTTGTCTGTAGCAGACGTGCCTTCAAGTTCAGCAATGTTCCAAACTTCTGAATCGCGATTGCGTTTTATTAAAGGGACATCACTCTAAACAGAGAAACCACGCCCCACTGGTTATTATCATGTAAAAGTCCGTTAACGACCGGTTTTCTGGTCCGTTTTTTTTCTGTTAAAGACCGATGGAATTTTTTACTAAAGAATAAAGAATGTCATGTGGCCCCTTGTTATCCAATAAGAGAAGCTAATTCTTAACCGATACGAAATAACATTGTTTATCATTTTTATTACATCAGATTTATTCATCCTACATGTAAGTGAAATACGTGTTTAATATCCGAATTAAGTTTCAACGGACCTAACCCCAAATGTATTTAAATATTCACGGCGATCTATTTATATTTGCCACCACCTTGAATATGTATTTTAACTTTGTGTATTAAACTCGACCTTCTGACTTATTACAGTCTCCTCGGAGACGGTATTAAGAGTTGATTACCGTCTCCTCGGAGACGTTATTAAGATTTGAACGATGGACAGTCTGCGGGCTGAATGCTTTCTTACTACCTGATTGGAAGATATTACTGACTCTATAATAATTAAAGTTCGTTGATTGGTTGGGACAATTCAAACCTAGTAAATGTCTTTAATCCCGTAGAGTGCCGGATCTGAACTCTTTATTTTAGTAAATAGATTTTGCCTGGTTACCACTCATGCATATCGGTACACAGGTAACACTTATTATAAATAGCTGAATCTCCTGAAGATTTGTAAACACACACGTGATTATTTCACATTAAAAATCCAGTCGCTCAGTGTATACATTTTATACGTGAAAACATACGAAAACTTTTTTTTCATATGTTATATTTATACTCGGAAAAAATAATCTAAATGCAACAAAAACATTTTAAAACAGAGATATCAAATAATTTCTTTTCGATTAATATTAATTTACACGGGAATTTTTTTCTC